TGGTGTCCTTTCCTGGCTTTGGTATCAAGGATGTTTGCTTCATAGAATGAGTTGGGAGAATTCCATCTTTTTCTATTTTCTGAAATAGTTTATATAGAATTGGTGACAGTTCTTCTCTGAATGTTTGATAAAATTTGCTTGTAAATCCATCTGGTCCAGGACTTTTTTTGGTTGGAAGTTAGTTTTCAGATTACATTTAATGTATTCATTTTATATGGTTCACAGGACTGCATCATTTGAAAAAACTGGAACACTAAAATGACCTCTAATTTTCATAATCTCTTTATTCTGTTTCCAGATAATGTTTGTTGTCCCAGGAGGATCTTTATGAATTTTATGCTTAGAGATGACTTTTGTCTACTCTTCTCTTTTGACATCTAAAATGTGAAAAGTTTTGTTATGAAGGCCTACAAAGTTTCACAAAGACATGCATTGGCTAATAATCTCATGGTCATATAAGTCCATGTTACTAACACCACTTTAAAAATTCTGCACTAGATTTGTGTCTTATTTTCTTCCTTTTTTTCCCCCTAACAGAGATGGTGGGCCATAAAAACAGTTAGTTACCAAATTTTAATGTTTGCCTATACTTAGTATTTACAGAACAACTAGTAACGACCAACAGTATATTTGAAGAGAAAATTCTGGGATGTTTTCTTTTAACAGCCACCAGAGCTTCACTAGTTTTCCCTTTGTTGATTTACCTCATAGTTTTCTTATATGAATAAAATATAGTGCCTAACCATGGAAAATGTCTTAGAAAAGCGAGATGATCAGAGTCTCCAGCTAATCAACAGCAATGCCTACACATGTACTGAAATCTACTATTGTGCCAGGGCAATGTAGACACTGAGGGTTCTATCTAAAGATAAAAGTCTGACTTTCAGAAATTTACATTCTACCTGAGAAGACGGGCAATAAACATGCAAATTAAAAAGAGTAATATTAAAGGGAATGAATAGGGGAGCCACTCAAGGGCAACCACATTTGAAGATGACAAATGAGTTGAGACCTGAAGGATAAAAGAAAGCAGTCATATGAAAAGCTAGAAGCAGAGCTGCACCAAACACAAAGGCCTTGAGAAAGAAGCAAGTGTGGTCTGTTTGAGGTTCAGGATAGAGGCTCATAAAAAAGCAGGCATTCGGGGCGAGCCGTCGCGGCCCCCTGCCCGGGGCGGGCTGCCCTCGGACCTCTGCCCGGGGAGGGCTTCCCTCGGCCCTCTGCCCGGGGCAGGCTGCCCTCGGCCCCAGGCTCGGGGTGAGCCGTCGTGGCCCTCTGCCCAGGGC